AAGAGGGAGTGACTGGGGGTGGCTGTGGAAACCCTCTCCCAACAGGTACTGCTCTGCCGAAGCACCCACACAGCACCAACACATCCTCAGCCGAGTGTGGGTGCTGAAGTATGAGTATGAGGGACTCGGCATTTTGTCTCCCTTTCTGCTGATGCAGAAGTTACCACTGTGGAGATGGAACTAGGGAGACTCCAAAGGAAGATCCCTCAATGAGTGAGGCAACAGGAACAGGCACAGTGCTCAGCCTGCTCTGCTGAGCGTGGCAAAGCCTGGTTGATCACTGGATGCTCTGCTCACTGGAGCAGGAGCTCCAGGTCTACCAGACCATCCCTCATTGCACTCACCATCCTGGCAGCGCTGGCCGGTGTAGCCTGGCAGGCACAGACAGGCTCCCGTGGCAGGGTCACAGCTGGCATTGTTGGCACAGTCAGGACAGATCTCCTGGCAGCCTGGTCCCCAGCGACCCTCGGGGCAAGCTGAGCACAGACAGAGAGAGAACACACAGCATGGGGATCAGAGCCCTGGTGGGAGCAGGAAATGTCTGTTTTCTGGGTTCCCTTTCTCCTTCGTGCACGACGTGGACTTCTGCTCAGCGACACAGCGAGCACAGCATGGCTTTGCTTGTTCCACAAACACTGTGCAAGCCCTCAGTAAGTGCTATTCTGAGCTCACTCCAGGACTTCCATGCCAATCTTGGATTTGCATCCACTCATGGGGAGCTCCAAGGGCTCCTTGCTGGGAAATGGTGTTGCTGGCACAAGATCTCCACAGCTGGGGTCACACCATGGACAGCACATCAGTCAGCGCTCCCAGACCCACTACGAGTTGCAAAGGAGGAGCAAAAGGCTAAGAACAGCTAAAACCAGGGCAAAAATCCTGCCCCAACTGCTCCTAAGCTGCTCCAGGGCCTGGAAAACAGGCTGCTCAAAATGTATGGTAAGCTCTGTGCATGTGGTTTTACTGCTCAGCCAAAGTCTTAGGAGCAGGACATCTATATGTGACTAATACCTTCCAGCTGCTGTAATACCCCATAATCATGCAAAAGCTTTTCATTTCAGATTCTCTAGTTTTCCAGCAGCTAAAGAGTAATCTGGTGAAGGCAATTAGAAACACACATTGGTAAAGAAAAGCTCCTCTCCTGTGTTAAGGACTGCAGCAACCGAAAATATCTTCATCTTCATGGTGTATGTTTACTTGTGCTTTCCTCAGCCTCAGCAGTGGAGTGGAATTGGCCCAGGCTGGTGCTTAAGACTTACCATTTTTTCTAATTTTCCATAAAGATGATTTCAATTGGATGTTTTTAAAATTAAGTTTAGCAGAATAAAACTAATAGCTCTACTCCCAAATCCCTCCCTTGGCGCGGTTGCTCACCTTGGCCGCAGTCGTGTCCCATCCAGCCGGGTGGGCAGCGGCACTGCCCCGTCGTCCGGTCACAGGGTGCCCCACCACAGGCACAGAGCTGCCTGCAGCCAGCCCCAAACATCCCCTCTGGGCACTCTGCAGGGACAACAGCAGGGTGAGAACCATCCCGAGACACCCAAGAGCACTTTACTGACCCCACAGCCCAAAGGAACCTTCAGGTCTGTGGGGAAATGCTCAACTGTGAGAGGCTCCCACACTGCTGCAGGAGACCATGTCCATGATTTACAAGGACAAGGACAAGAGGCCAAACTGGTCTCCAGTCTGTGGGCAAGGTCTTTGCAGAGTAACCACTGCCTGAGCCACTCTGCTCCCTCTGGGCTGGGGTGCAGCACACTGGGGTCACAGCCCCATGCTGAAGCTCTCCTTGACATTCCTAAGATGCTGTGAGGGTTTTTTACCACCGTGGCTGAATGCCTCCAGGGTCTGGGCACCAGGGCTGTAACAAGCAGCCAGGTTTGCTGCAGGACACAGATGTAAAGGAATAAAGAAGCATCCTCATCCACAGGAGGAATAAGCACTTTTCCTTCCCTCTGCTCTGGTTGCTGACACAGCTCAGTTAGCACTTTGTACCCTGTGCCACGATTTAGCAGCCAAGGAGTGACGTGCAGCCCGAGGGCCCCAGACCCAAAGATCCTCAAATCCTCCACGCTCACCCAAGCCAATGCTCAGTGATGCTGGGGCAGAGCAGAGCACACCGACGTTCACCGCCCGCCGAGGACACGCACCCCGCGCCTCGATTTCCAGGGACACAGTGGAGTTTTTGTTATTCCTCCTCTTTGCTAATTGATGGCAGATGTTTGTCTTCACCCTTTAATAATTTCCAGATCCGAACAACAGCCAAGAGCCTACTATTTCTATACAAATATTTGTGTTATTTCCTGTGACTTCCCCCTAAGGCTCCAGCTCCTTTCTTACCCTTCTTAAAAATAGCCCGAGTGGAGTACTCAGCCCTGCGAGGAGCCGAGGGCACTGGGGACTCTGGGGGCTCCTGGGGCTCCAGGGGTCACAGCATCCCACCACAGGGGGCTCAGGGCTGTGAGACCCTGCCCTGCAGGAGCTGCTCCCCTCTCTCCTGCTAGTGCTATGCAGCTCTGGCAGCACTTGCCTTGGGCCTGCAGCTCTGGTTCTGACCAAGAGCCCATCATCTGTCAGAGAGGTGCTCTGCACCACGACCCTGTGCTGGCAGATCAGTGAGGCTGATAGCTGTAACTTCTGGGCTAATGGAGTGCTTGACTAAACATCACTTAGTGCTGAAACTCGGGGGATGCTCTAATCCAAGCCCAGATTTGGCCACTGCCAGCCCCTACATGCAGTGTCTTCTGCTGCAGTCTGTCTTCAGTGTGGACTTCAGCAGTCCAACTTTTTGCATTCTCTGTGGGACACAACCCGCTGAAGTGGATTCAGGAGGATCCAGCCCCACAGGAGCAGGGGGAGATTGGCTTTCCAGTCGCTGCTCAGCTCTGTGGTTGGCAGAAGTTATTCTTTTGCAAGCACTGTGTTCATGTTTTGCAATCAGCACCTCATGCCAATGACTCACTGCCTTTAGGTTTACTAGAAACACCTTTGTCTGAACAAAGTCAAGCTGTCTGACACCCCAACCACCCCCAGGATCTTGAAATCTGCACCTTCAGAGCCTGAGTGTTAGACACAGTTAGACACACACAGAGCTGGGCAGTTCTGCCACGGTTCTGTTGGCTGCCCCTTCATGTGAAGGGCACTAAACTGCTCTAAGAGGTTCATACCGAGGCAGAAGTTTAAATCCTAATGCAAATGAAATGTAAACTTCTCTTTTGCACTTGCAGATCAAACAGAGTTTCAATATGGAACAGGGAACAGAGCAGAAAATGTGATACCGTTGTGCTGGGCACAGATTGCCTGGAAGGGAAAAGACATCAAGGGCAAGGGAAAGATAATTAGATCTCTATCACCTTCATCTGCAAATGAAGAGAGGGGCAGGATAAAGTGAGACCTTGTTCTCCTTTCCTGAACCAGACTCCTTTGGCATGAGGAATCCTGCTCCTCTGCTTTAGAGAAACAACAGTGTCTCACAGGGCCCTGCGGATGGAGGTTCCTGTGCCCCCCAAAGCCTCAACTCGTCACTCGTCAGATCCTCTGCACTGGGCTGGGGCTCTTGGGGGATTGTGCAATTGCTCTCATGTCGTTTTGTGAAGAAGAAGTGTGAGGAGTGGTGAGTTCACAGCACACAGCTCGGTCCTGCCTTACCTTGGTCACAGTTCTCCCCGTGGTAGCCTCGGGGACACTCCTTCTGGCACTCTCCAGTGACAGGGTCACAGGACACTCCTGGGGAGCAGCTACACTTCTTCTTGCAGCCATCCCCGTAATAGCCAGGCTCACAGCCTGTGAGCAGCCAGAGGAGAGAGACAGAAGGGGTGAAATTACTCCTTGCCCCTGGCAGAGTTGCAGCCTCAGGTGCTGAGCACCCTCCTGAGCATCACTGCCCACGGGTACAGCTGTCCTGGTGACAACTGAACGTGGCAGAGCGTGCCAAGCTCTCCCCGCAGAAACGAGCTCAGGAAAAGAGGCACTCACTGGTCTCACAGCGTGGGCCATGGTAGCCAGGCTTGCAGCGGCACGAGCCGTCGCGCCGGTCGCAGTCCTGCGTGTGAGGCTGCACACAGTCACACTCCTCTGAGCACCCCGCGCCGAACGCCCACCGCGGGCAGGCTGCGGGCACAGGGGCACACGTCAGGGCACAGCCCTTCCCAGGGACAAGGCTGGAGCCAAGGGAGGATGAGGATGGACATACCCAAGTGGCAGTAGCGGCCGTACAACCCGGGATCACACAGACAGGCTCCGTAAATCCGATGGCAACGCCCCCGGTTGGCACAGTTGCACTTTTTCCTGCACTGCTTCCCGAAAAATCCTTTAGGGCATCCTAGTAATAGAGAGAGAGAGATTTCCTGGGAGGATGAGGCAATTTCAGACAGGCATTTGATTCCCAGTAGAAAAACATCCCAGAAGCAGAGCCGTGCGTGGCCAGCGATGCACCTGGGCAAGGGATCCAGTCAGACTCCCTGCATCACCTCCAACCAGCTGGCTCAGTGTCCCAGGGGATGGCACTTGCTGCCACTCTCCACAGTGCCTCGAGGGCACCACCAGCTCTGCACCTGCTGGGACCAGTAACTGTGCTGGTTGGGCTGGAAATAACCCACCCACAGAGCTTTGGGAGGTCAGGGCTTTCCTACGTGGGAAAGTAACCCACAAGGCTCCTGCTGTTGATAAGCCACAGTGATATTTGCACTATTAAGGGTATAAAATTGCTGTTCTTTCTCTGTTATGCTAAAGATGTGGGTGTTGGAAGCACATGGCAGCAGGCTGTGCCAGCAGAACGCTCTGGCCAGCAGCAAGTGCCTTCTCCCTGCGACCAGAGCAGCAGAGGAAGTGCCACCCTGGGACAACAGAGCAATTCTGCATTGTTTATTTTAATTTTACCTTCCTGTTTTCTCTTTGTGCCCCCCAACCACCTCCTTCCCACAGAAAGGGATGGTCGGGGTATCTCTAGTGTTCATTTACATTCTGCTTCACTCTCCTCCCTCAGTAATAGCTCCCATATGCTCCCAACATGTGTCTGAAGCTCTTTTGTCTGAATGTCTGATTGTCTCACTCATTCTGAGCTTTCAAATTGTGTCCCCCAAATTTTAACCCTTTGGGAGCAAGAAACAAACACCACCAGCAGTGACATCTCCTTTGGGTGCTGTGAGTAGCTACTGCTGTCACAGCTTTGCAGTGCTTTGGGTTTTCTTCAGTGGGAAACACCTCCATGGTTTCCATGGAAATTGTGGTTTTGACATTCTTTTCTGTGTCTGCCACTGAATGCCCCATGAAATATATATATTTGCTCCCAGTCATGGCCGAGTAGCCATCAGGGACTGCAAAGGTCTCACAGTGCAAAGACCAGGCACACTCCCTGCAGCACTGTTTAGTGGGTGAGGAGTCCCTTTACCAGCTTTTCCTTATTAAAATGACATTTGTCCACACAAGACTCAGTGACCCATGGAGCCTGATGGAGCAGGGATGTGTTGGAGCTGCTCACACGGGGATGGCTCAAACAGAGAGCTGAAAGATGCCATCAGTGAACAGCTACAAAGGGACCAGTGTAGAACATCCCGTGGGAAACACTCTCAGGCTTCAGAGGAGCACAACTGGGACATCAGAGTGACACTGGAGATGGCCAGAACAGCCATTTATCAAGTGATGGCAAACACTCTGCTAAGGCGCTGATAGGCCAGAAAAGAGGAGAAAGGGAATCACCTCCAGCCCTGGGAGGTGAGCGAGGAGAGCAGGGACTCACCGTCCTGGCAGAGCTGCCCAGCCACGCCGGGAGGGCAGCGGCAGCTGCCACTGATGGGGTCACAGGTTCCTCCATTCTGGCAGAGGCAGGTCTGGCTACAGTTGCTGCCGAAGGTGCCAGCTGGGCAGGCTGGGGAGGGAGAGGGAGATGAGCCACAGCCTCACATGGCTGCACAGAATCATAGAATTTTAGGGGTTGGATTGGATCTTACAGGTCATCCAGTCCCAACCCCCTGCCGTGGGCTGGGACACTTCCCCACTAGACCAGGATGCTCAAAGGTTTCATCCAACCTGGCTGTGAACACTGGCAGGGTTAGGGCAGCCACCCAGCTCCCTCACCACTGCCCCCAGCACTGCTCACTCACTCTGGTTGCAGAGGATTCCAGCCCAGCCAGCAGGGCAGACACAGCCTGTCCCCTCAGCGTTGCAGGTGGCTCCGTTCTGGCAGTCCTCACAGGTCAGGCTGCAGTCAGGGCCAAATGTGTGCTCCAGGCAGACTGCAACGAGAGGCACCACGAGTGAGAACCTTCCAGCACCCCAGGGGGTTTGAGCAGAGAAATCCCCATGATGCCACCATGGCAAAGCTAAATGCAGCAGCCTGAAATGGGACCTGTGGGTGTGCTCACCAAACACAGCCAAACCCAGACTGCACCATTACTCCTGCAGAGTCCCAAGCAAAGCATGGCATTTACTGTCACTGCTGCCCACCGAATTTCTCCGAAAGCGTGTGCTCTCCTCTTGCTTCCATCTCCTCCTCCTCCTCCTCATAGTCATCGTTGAAGAGCTGTGTAAACTCATCTCTCAGGATGGCAACGTGAGGGACGGGGCGGATAACAGGGCGACGACCGTCCAGAGCTTCCACGGTGTCCTCTAGAGCTGGGGAACAGCGACAGAGGTGACAGTGCCAAAGAGGGAAAGGAGACAGGATCACTGGGAGGTGAATACTGGGGCAACCTCTGCAGTAGGAAAGGGACAACAGAGCTGTCTGTGCAGGGCTGGGCAATGTGGGTTGCAGGTTTCCAACACTGATCTCACTCCATATTGACATCTCTAAAACTTTTACAACTTGTTTCTTTGGGTTTTTTATGGCTAGAGTGGGCCCAGATCTATGTGAGAAGCTTTGACCTCACCCTTGCCACACAGGTCTGGCTGCTCATGCACCTGCAGCAGCAGATGATGTACTTACAGATGCAGCTCCTTCGGTCTTCATCCAGCTTGTGCCCAACTTCACAGCCACACTGGAACGACCCTGGCTGGTTCTGGCATGTGTGTTCACATCCACCATTATTTGAAGAGCACTCATCCACATCTGCAAAACATGTGATCAGTGTAAACAGAGCAGGTCCTCTGTGCAGGACAGGCTGTCTGGCCATGCAGCTATGGCTGATGACATCCTCTCTGCTGGGGATTTGAAGCCATTGACTCTAAAAACAGAGTGAAACTACCTCAGGGATCAGCAACACCTGGGTTTCAGTTCCTATCCATCACTAACTGTGTAGGCACAGGTGGGTGAGCTTGGCTCTTTACCTGTGAAATGCTGAGAGCTTTGGTAGTGAAAACAACTCATTAGTGGAATTTTTGCCCATGTTCTTTCTGCTGAGAAGGTGACTCAGAGAGCTGGCAGGAAAACTGGTATGAGCTGGGAGAAACTGGGAGAAACCTCTGGCTGTTCACACCAGGTCGGACAATCCCTTGTTCTCTTAATTAAAAGCTTCATTACTCACTGTCTTGGCTGTGCTTTATACAGACACTGTTATTAGCCTGAATCTCACGGGTGAAAGTGATGGGCAGCGTTGGCCTCTGGGGCTGAACATCAAATGGGTTTTGTGAGTTAATGGGGTCAGACCTGGAGCAGCTCACTCTGAGTTAACCTGAGCTGAACTCAGTGTGGTCAAAAGTTCCATCTGCAGCTGTGCTGGGCTTAGTGTAGGGGTCAGAACTGCTGAGTTGCCCTAACACTGAGCACACTGAGGGTGACAGCAGACAAACCAGAGTCAGAGGGCCCCGTTCTGTGGGTGCCTCCTGCCCTGCTGCGAGGCTGAGCCCTGTGTAGGTTTGCCTGGAGCCCAGTGAGGGGTTTGTGCTCACCATCACAGCCACAGCCATCCGTGCTGAGCCTGTACCCAGCATAGCAGGCACACTCATAGCCCCCAGGGTAGTTGTAACAGTCCTGCTGACAGCAGTGAGAACCAGTGTCACACTCGTTGATATCTAGATGGCAAACAAAGGGTGCTGGGTGTTAATACACTGTGCAGTGGTGACAATAACTCTTTAAGTTGCTGCCTGACTAGTTCTAGTTAGCTTTTACTGATCTCCTGATGAATGCTGGGCTCCTCTTGAGCTCCTCTTAAAATCAGGGAGCTTTGTGTTAACAGATCTTCCTCCCCATCCGAGGGAGGAATCCCAGGTGCCCTAGGCCTGTGGGAAGTTCACTGTGATTTCCAGTTTGACATTGCTGTTACAGGTTTTGTGTGCTTACAAGAGAGGTGATTCCAGCTGTACCACTGTCTCCTGCTTAGAGCAGTTCCAGCAGGGAAAAACTAATTGGTTTGGAAGTCATAATTGCTGTCCAAGTGTATCTTGAGTGAAGGTTGGAGAACGTCTCAGAGCAAAGCAACATCTCCTCTCCTCTCACTTTGCATCTGTTTCCAGTCTCATTAACCTGTCTGTAGTGCACATACACAGCAGCTAACAGAGATCCTCATCATTACCCAAGATGTGCTTGTGAGTCAAGTCTGGACCTTCCCTTACCCGTGCACGACTTCTGGTCCTCCTCCAGCCGAAAGCCAAAGTTGCAGGTGCAGACTGGGCCAGAGCTGGTGTGGTGGCATGTGTGGGAACAGCCACCGTTGTTGGCCTCACAGCTGTTCACAATCTCCATCTCTATTCCTGGAAAAGTCAGAGTGGTTAGACTCCTGTGTGACACAGCTCTGCCCATGCCTGCCCTCGGTGCCGTGCTCCGGTTAGCTCCTGACACCACATTCTGCTGAGGAGGGGGATCTGCAGTGGGAAAGGATGGAAATAGCTCTGCACAGAGGCCACTGCTGGGCTGGGAAGTGGGGTATAAAAAGAAACCAAAGGGTCTCACGCAGCCTCTTAGGGACAGAGTCCTGGAGAGGCTCTGGACAATCTCTGGGATGAACAGGCTGCGGATGAAACTGCTCCTGCTCCTGCCAAGCTGCAGCGTCTGCTGCCAACCAAAAGTTGGCTCAGCCTCAGAGCAGAGCTGTTCTGGTGCCAGGGAGAAATGGGAGCAGCAGAATACAGCTAACTAGGGAAATATCCAGATGCCTACAGCGAGAAACGTTAGTTCCTGACATGTCAAAAATGGTCGGCACAAACATCAATCGCAGCCATAGATCATCTGAGCTTGGCAAGGTTTCTGTAAACTTGTCTAGTTAATTAAGCTTTCTTAAACTAAAAGGAACTTGTTTCATGGAGCTTTGACTCAGTGTTGAACCTCAGGAAAACAATTTCTGCCTTCAAGAACATTTTTAGAGCTTTCTGTGTGTTCAGACCCAAAGAAAGGGAGTTTGATGCTTCCCAGTGGATCTGTGCTTGTCAAAAACAAAAGCTGCGCCACAGGGGAAGACAATATTCCATATTTCACAACATGGTTATCATCCCTCTCTCTCTATTTCCTATTAATGCAGAACAAGCAGGGGTTTGCATTAAAATGTGCTAGAATGGGCAGGAACATTTTCTGTGCAGGAAGGCTGCTTTGTGCTGCAGTTGGCCCCAAAGCTCTGTCAGTGGTGATGCTGTGAGATCAGCTGTGGTCCTAGGAAGGTATTTGTGTACATGTAGGCTCTTCAATATCATGTCATCAGCCTCACACTGCTCTGTTTGATGCCTCTCAAGACTCATTTATGGGTTGTGAAGCCTTACCCTCACACCCTCGGCAGGCTCCAGCAGCTGCACAGGTGGAGTGCACAGCTCCCAGTGACACCAGTTGCCAGCACTGGGCCTGCCACGGTGGCTGTCATCGTGAGGGAGCTGCTGGTGCTGAGAGCTCTGGTTCAGGTCGTCCCTGCTGTGTGCATCAGCTGAACAAAGCTGCACGGACAGTCTGGCTCACTCTTGCATCAGTGTTTATTTCTTTCCTTGATGGGAGCAGATGTGATCCCTTCACTGGCTCAGTTCCTTCCTCAGTGACACATCTGCAGCTGACTGAACTCGGCCAACGAAGTCCCCAAGAGCAGAACTTGGCTTATGTGGAGCCAAATGGCTCCAAATCAAATGCCTAAACCAGCAAAAAGTAGCTTCGGACTGTCTTTAAAAATCAGACCAAGTTTTTTATCTTGGTGGGAGAGTAAGCAGCCACAAACCTGCTTGGGAAATTCCTCAGAAAACGCTGCTCTGGCTCAGCCCTGGCAATTCACAGAGGGCAGTGACAAACACGTGCAGAAGCCAACCTGACCCCGTCCCACCGCGCGGGCTCTGCCCGCAGTACTCACGGTAGCATCCCCTGCCATCCGCCCCCAGCTCGTAGCCTGGGTTGCAGGTGCACTTGAAGGAGCCACGAGTGTTGAGACACTGGTGTGCACACATGGCCAGTCCTGTCAGGCACTCGTTCACATCTGCAACAGGTGAGCAACCAGTGAGCAGAGCAGGCTGAGCCACGAACACCCTTCCAAGGGGACAACTCTTACTGTGTCTGAGTTGTTCACTGGTTTCTCACGCCCCAAATTCTTCCCTGGGTCCAGCCCAGCAAAGGAGCAGAGTTGAGAGTTGAGAACTGAGTTCCCAGGGAAGGCTAGCAGGGCACTGACCTTCGCAGGCCTTGCCGTCGGGTGCCAGGCGGTACCCAGGGTGGCAGTCGCAGCGCGCGCGGCCGCGCTGGCTGTGGCACAGCTGCATGCAGCCCCCGTTCCTGTCGGCACACGGGTTCCTCCCTGCAGGGCAGAGCACAGAGCAGGGTCATTCCAGACACGTGGCATTGCTGGGGAGCAGAGCACCAAGCAGCTGTGCCCAGCAGAGGAGTCTGCAGGCTGAGAAATCCTGTTCTGCATCAGGCAGGAAATCCCTGTTACTGCTTCGCTAACTGCTCCATCCGGGCAGGAGGGTTTGCGTGGTGTGAGATCCTGCAAAAGGCTGGCACTAGGCACAGCAAAACCCTTCCAGGAGAAGCTTGGCACATCTCTCTGCAGAGATTGCAGAGCAGGTGCTGGCAATTTGCTCCAAGTGCTCCTACCAAGAGGTTTTCCAATCTCTGACCTGCTCCGGGACCTGCACAGATGCTTCAAACTCCACCAGCTGCTGCAGTTCTAATATCCCAGTTGTTGCTTTTCCCTTAGCAACTTCACAACTAAAGACTCCCCTCCTCCTGTCTCTTGAATGTCAACTGCTATGAATGAGGAGATCAACCTTGTGCTCCGTCCCCTCTGTCTTCTCCCCCTCCTGAGCTGGGAGCAGGTCAGCCAGAGAGCTGTCTGAATCCGAGGGGGAAGATCCCATCCCACTGCCACACGGTGCTGTTCCTCCACTCTCACAGCAGCCTGAGCCTTCATACAATTTCATTATTGTTGGCCACACTCCTGCAGCTCTTCCTATCCTTTGGAATAAGCTGCAGGATACATCCATGACAACAAAACATCCAGAGTTTTTACTGGAAATACCCCAGCCCGAGCTGTTGGACATCTGAGTGTGCTGGTGAGTGCTCCCCAGCCCCAGCTCCCAGGTGGAAGCTCTGCCTCCCCAGCCCCTCGTGGTGCCCAAGGGACTCACAGACACAGTGTTTGCCATCCTCCTGCAGCTGGAAGTTGTGGCGGCACTGGCAGCGATGCTGTGTCAGCGTCACCTGCACACAGTCGTGTTCACAGCCACCGTTGTTCAGGGCACACGAGTTCACAGCTGCAAGGCAAAGGGACAGCAGGGTTGTCACCAAGAGGATGGCACCAAGATGAGCAAATGGCACTGGGATGAGTGAAGGACACCTGGATGAGCCACTGGCACAGGACCAGGGCAGATCACACACCCTTAGAGCACTGCTCAGGAGAATGCAAAATTGGGGCATGTTCAGCCCATGCTAAAGTGATAAGTTCATTAGCAAGGAGCATGTGAAGTGGGAGATGTTGCTGTAAACACCTGTGGGCAGTGCAGAGGAGAAAACCCATTACCGTGCCAGCAGGACCCTTGAGATGGGACCCTGCTCTTTCGAGGGAAGAACAGCTCAACAGTACTGGTTAGGAACTCAGAATCACTCTTCATCATCAGAGATCCCAGCCTCTCCTGGAAGGTGAGACCAGGACACAGGGGTCTGGGTTAGGCCCTGTGCAGCAGCACATGGGAGGGAAGCCAGGACCAGGCTTGTTTCCTGCCAGGCATCCGCCCGCTCCCAAGGGCACCGTGTCAGCGAGCAGACTGCTCACTGCTGCTGCCCAAACTCCCAACATCCTCTGCCAGCACAGCCACTGCAGGTGCTCCGAGATCTGTGCTCCAGCATAGTCAGGTTTTTCTGTAACAAAATGATGTGGAAAACTGAATTTCTGGCTCAGTGACACGCGAAAAATCACTGACTGCACAGGGCGAGGCCCAGAAGGTATTCCCAGTTCTGGGAATGCTCAGGGAAAAACGTTTTAAGATGTTTAAGATCCTGTCCATACTTCAATCAGGTGTAACAGCCCCCAGCTCAGGGTGCTGACCAGGGTAGTTCTGCACGGCCCCTGGAACACGTGGGCTCAGGGATGCTGTGCCCAGCAGTGTCACCCAGCAGGAGCACATGGAAATACACTGGCAGGAATTCGGATTTCATCCCTAGTGCAGCAGGACTGGGAATTGAGATTCCCAACTGGTGTTCCTGGCCCTGCCGTGGAGTTTCTGTGTGGCCTTGCGCAAGGAGCCCAAAGGATTCCAAACAGTCAGAAAACAGAAGGTTTTGCCTAGGCTACGGCACAAAACAGACCTCATGACAGAACATGTGGACTGTCCTCTCCTTACAAGCCTGCTAACATCAGCCAGCATGGACACAGCCCTCTCCTGCCCCTCCCTGTAAACTGGGATGTCTCTGTGGGACAAGCAGAGGACTGGGATGGATAACTCAGTGTGTGCACCTTGCAACCAGCCATGAGGCTGAGTTTTCCTGCTTGTTTTTACTGCAGATACCCAGGACCACTGACCTCGTATCCAGGAGACATCTGAGCTAGAAAACAAAGCAGGGAAGGCCTTTCTGGGGCAGAATTCACAGGCTCTGTAGAGGAGCATGGTGTAATTACACACCTCCAAATGCTGAAAAGCTCCTCTTGGACTACCACATGTCTCCCAAGTTATCCCACCTACTCTTTAACTGCGGAGCAACTCAGAGACTGCTCCAAAGAGGTGTCCCTAACGGGAACTGGGAAATGGCCTTTAAAGTCTGTTCTGCCTCTCAGGAGCTACCAAAGTATCACAACCCACTGCCCACCACAGCTGGGTGGGTGACACACAGCTCAGCTCGTCCCTGGTCCAGGATGGAAAACCAGCCCTGGCTTCCCTAAGCAGAATGGTATGATGCATCGTGGTCTCACATGTTTCTGACCTATTCTTCAAACTCCAGAGTAAACTAATGTGCTGGCTCTGAGGAATCCTAAGAGAAAGCTAAAAATAACTCTAATGAAAACCATCTCTCCCCAGGCTGATCCTTCAGGTGATCACAGTGCCCTCCACAACCTCTGGAGCTCTGGAAGCAGGAGAGCCTGGAAAACAGCTGCCAGTAGAAGTCTCTGCTTGTAACACATCTCTGAATCCCAAGGCAAGTTGGGTCTATACTCCTGTACATTAGTGAAAACAAATCTCTGGCTCAGGAGGAAAATAAAAAGCAAAAACGTGGAGGTTTTTCTGCACACTGTTCCCCTGCAAACACTGCACCTTTACTTGGAGGTCAAGCATTAAAAAACTCAACTTCCATTTTTATGCCTGTAATTAGCTAAACAACATTTGGGGGAGCAAAAGCAACATAATAGGGTGGAGGTTCTGCCATACACAACATACGTCTGGAGCAAGGACTCACGTTTATGTTAGCTGTGCTGACATTGTTCCCTTAATCCATTTGGAAGGGAACAACAGAAATACTCAGCGTTCCTGAAAAGCTCCGGGTCAGAGTTACACTGCTCAGGCTCTAGCAGAGATGGGTGGTCATTTAAAAATATTCTGATATATTAAAGTGTTTAATAACATATATTCAAAAATAGCTATAAATAATGTGCTTGCTGGAGTGCCTTTTTTTGTCAGAGGGAGAAGTAAAACAATGCTGATGAATGCCAAAACATTCCTTCAGCTGGGAAAAGCACTGGGCCAGCGCAGAACAAGCCAATGCATCTTACATCTGAAATAACCTCCCAGGATGCCACGATTCAGATGATTTTGCAGGCTAAATAGTGGCCTCCTTGCAAACTTCTACAGGACAGCTTTTCAGAGTGGAAAAAACTAAAGCCTGAGTTCTGCCACACGAGATTTCAGCAGAGAGAACCCCTGCAAGGCTGGAGAGCATGTGCAGATTGCTGGGAGAATGGCAAAGGTGAAGCATGAGACTGCAGAGGTCTCACAGAGTGTTTTCTTTCCTCTCGTGTCTCTTTCAGTGTCACCTATTTGCTATCACACCTACTCCTCAAGAGGAACAGCCCTCCAGGCCCCTCCCTGCTCTGTGACCACACAGCAAGACCAAAGGGCTGCACATGCTGCTGTCCCAGACCACTGGGGTGATGGGAACCAGAAGTTCTCCTCTGCCAAGAGACTTATCCACGGGGAAGAAGTGATTGGCATCCCTGGCTATACATGAGCCCTAGAGTGTTGGTGGCACGGGCACGATGAGCCAAACATGTCTTGTACCACCACAGAGAGATGCCAAGGGGCAAGGGGCTCTGCAGCACCCCAGCTGTGCTGAGACATGAACTGGTGCCATTCAAGGACTGGGAACAGCAAGACAAAACAAGCTGATTGTGATCGGTTTGGGTGTCTTTACCCCAGAGCAAGGGCTGCTCACTCTGGTCTCCTTAGCTGGCTCCTCGTGGAGTCACAGCCAGCAGACCTCGCCGCTGGCCTTGTTTTAATTACTGCTGGGGTTTTTTTTTCTGTTTACAGAACCACTCTAAAAATATTTCCATTCCCAGATGCTTTGCCGAGCCTAACATTTCTGTGTGGACGCTGCCAAATCCAGTGTCATCCTGAGCATTGCACAGATCTTTGCAATTACGGCTCAGACAGATTTTCCACAGATGATGTTTCGGCGTCTGCAAGAGGAACCTTCCTTCCATCCCCTGTCTGAGGGGAGTGCAGGGCTGCTGAAAGGTGCTGCTCTGAGATTCTGACCCTCTCAGGCCTAGGAAATGGATGAGGAGGGATGAAGGGGATGTTGTTATCACTAACTGAGCGTGGGGAATGGGTCAGTGTGACAGCAGCCTAACAGAGGAGTTGATTTAACACCTGAGCTCTGCACCCTCCAGCTGCTCTTCTCTCTCCCATCTGCAGCACCTTTCCTTCAGATCCAAGTGACTTGCCATCAGCAGCAGTGAGCTGACACAGGCAGCTGGAACCAGAACTGAGTGGGACATTCCCTTTGGCAGTGTCACACAAACCCATCGATTCTAAGAAAAACTGTGACTGGGCGAAGAAAAGATCAAATTCTTTCAAATGTGCCATTTGTCTGCAAAAACAAAGGTCTCACCAAGCACACATGGGCACTGACCCTCTGCACACACAGTTCAAACCCACACAAACCTCCTGCACAGTCCTTCTGCTCACTGCATCACTGCTACCCTTGAGAGTCCTCCGTCTGAACTGCTCCTAATACGAATAGAGATCCATCATGTAACCCCAAACTGATTTACCCTAACCTCAGACGATTTCCAGAAACATGTTGTGTGTTAATCCAGACCATCTCTCTGCTCCACAGGCCAACAAAAGCAATTGGCTCCCATTAATCCCTTCTCCTTGGCCTGGCCTGCATCCCTGTGCTGAAACGGTGGAGAAGGACCTGGAGATCTCAGCTTCCTGCTCCTGCCCATGTGGTTCTGATACAGAAAGAGGTAATTTCAGGACGTCCAAGGCCTCTTTTTGTTCCGTTTCACTTTCAAGAGAAGCGGCTGCTCCTCCTCTCCCTCCCTCAGCAGTGACTTCTATATTTGAACAACAAAGGCACAACGAAAGGATCTCGCCTGGCTGAGCTGCAGAGTACCCACAGCACCAGCAGTAGGTGGGAGAACATGGTTTTGAGCTGGTTTTGTACTCTCCTGAGCCAGACCCCAGGTACCAGCTAACCCTGGAGAGCTACCTCAGCCACATCGCAGGGACTGTGGAGTGCTGTGCTCCAGGCACTGCCACCAACTCTTCATCAGAGCCTTTGTGAGGACTGGAAAACATCAAAGGAATCAGATCCATGGTCTGACAGACCTGAACTAAAAATGTCACTATGCTCTTTCTGTCCCCAAAACATCTCCTACAGTTCATCTCTGTCCTTGGCCCCAAGTTTCCTACAAAGCAGGTTTGCAGTGCTGGGCACAGGCAGCAGGAGCAGGGCAGCCCTGCCTGCCTGGATCCATGGGACTGCTCTGCCTGGCACAGCCACGCTGCCAGGTCAGCCTGAAGAGCAGAAGAAAAGGATGGAAACTGCTTTTAAAGAAGAGATTCCTCCCTGTAGTAATCCCTTTTACCCTTTCTCTGGAGACTCTTCCACCTTCTGGGGCTGACACTGTGGAGAACTCCTGATTTCAGCTTGTCCCACGTTTTATTCCATGAGGCAGAGGCAGCAGCATCGCTGCACACCACAAGAAAGGAGCAGCATATTCTGAAGACAATTAGGAGATGACAGACCACAACACACTTACATGCGAACAGCAGCAACGCGTCACCGGCGGCACGAGCGCTCAGGGTCAGAGCTGGAGCAGCGAGCAGGAGTGGTTGGCTTTGTCCTTCATGTGCCATCCTTTTGCCTCTGGATTTTTCCAGCAAAATATAGGGCTCTCAGGGAATTTGCACATTAAGTCTCACTGTGGGTTTTGGGTGTTTTCAGGCAGTGGAGGCAGCTGTGGCCAGATGTGCATCTGTGCAGCGCTGGGTACCACTTCCCTGGTTGACTTTCTCCTGCTCACATCACCATTCCCAACTGGAATCAGCTCACACAGCAAACCCTGGAGTGTAACTGTATTCTGAGAAAACCCACAGTGGCCTCTGGAATACCATCACCCAGGAATTCTTTCCACTTGTATGAAAATAACCCTCAAATAATGGAAAAATGTGTCAGATGAGGCTATGAGGGAGAAGAGGTTTAATTGAAGCAGCAGCAGATGCTGGAGGCAGACTCAGAGTTCAGCTGGTTCCACTCTGAGTCTCTAGTTTGAGGCAGGAAGACAATACTTCAAGAACTTGGCCCAGAAATCAGCTGCAAGGCAAACCTGGCACCTGAATCACAATGTCTGGAGATGTACCATCCAAATGGATGTGTGATCAGCATCCCAAGGAAGAGGATTTGGGGATTGTTATGGCCACAGTTCCCCACACATCTCTGTTTATTGCCACTTGGGTGGCACACCTGGTGCCCACAGCATGGGCTGTAGCTGAGGACTAGAACAAGCCTGACTTGAAACTTCTAATCATCTAGTTTGTATATCTGTTCTGAAAATTCTGTATCTGATGTGTCCTGAATCAAAAGCAGAAGCATCAAAGCACTGGAAGTTACTTCTCCCAACCAGAATAAACTCAGGAACCGCAAAGCAGCCACAGTTCTACGTGACCACATGGAAGAACAGCAATGAACCCTAAGAAACCTCTTAGGGAAGACAATCAGAACACGACATCCATCAGCATCACCTCCTGCTCCCTGCACAGGGCGTGGGTGGGAGTGAGGAAGCAAAGGGAGTGTTTTCTGCACACTGCCATGGGTTTACCAGGAGGAGAAGGGTAAGGGAGTAAAGTCCCCACACGGTGCCTTACCGAGGCAGGTCCTGCCGTCCGCGTGCAGGCGGAAGCCTGGTCTGCACTCGCAGTAGTACGAGCCCAGGGTGTTCACACACCTCTGCTGGCAGCCCCCGTTGTGGACCTGGCACTCATCAACATCTGTGGAAAAACAGAGATGGCAAATAACTCAGAGGAGAGGGCACGAGGGTGTCTGAGGTCAGTGCTGTTTATGCTCCATTGCCTGACTCGGGGTTTGAGGAATGTGTGCAGAGGGAACAAGATGGACTTTTTGTTATGTTCCATCAGCCAAGCTGTTTCCAAAATTCCAGGGGCAAACCCACAATCAGTGAACAGCAACAAAAAAATGGCATCTTATTTGTCAATCAGCAGCACAAACCATCCGTTGGGTCTACTGGTGTTTCTGTGCTCTGTCTGCACCTTCAGCCTCCCACATACCTCCCCACGACCTAGGAGCTGTGAACCCACCCCGACCCAGCCAGCACTGCTCTTAATTAGATAAAGAAACACTTCCTGAGTGAATCACAGCAGGGTGTGGGCACAGCTGTGTCCCTGCACGCCAGCACTGCAGGAACCTGCCCAGCACCCATGCCCCGACTGCTCCCCCCGGGGAGCCAAAGGGCACCAAAAGCCACGGGGAAAGAAGAAACGCAGCCCTGACTGAGCCTGTGCTGCTATTTCACATTCATCAGACTAATTGCCAAGACAATCAGCGAGCAGCAAGGGAAGGTCTAGGTCAGGGATGGAACGGGAAGCGAAGTGGGAAAGGTGACGCCTGTTTGACTTGGTGTTTCTGAGATACACAGTGTAGTGTTGCTGTTTTCTCAGGCTGCTTGTCATTAGAAGACTTCACATGAAAACCTCAGAGCTCAGGAAAACCCACTGTGCCTTCTGTCCTAGTGATGCCCAGTGACCCCCCAAAGTCCTGGCTGTGCTGTGCTCCTCCTGAGAGCTTCCACTGCAGCTCTGGTCTCCACTGACCCACCAGAAGTGCTGATTTCTGCACTGCCAGCTCTTGCCTTATTTCAGCCTTTTAGAAGGTTTTGGTATTTTCTGCCTGTATTTTCCAAGGCACTTAGTTTCGACAGAAATGAAAATGAGAAGATTTTTGAGGTGGAACATAAGCTTTGAGTGATGCTCTCTAAAGAGTGAGCCAAAGCCAAAGTGACTTTTCAGGGGGAAAATGCTGCGGCTGAGTCTGAGATGCTGATCAGAGCAACCTAACTCTGAATCATTTTCCTCTGCAGACGCTTTACATGACTGGGATGCTGCAGAGCCCTAGAGCCTGAGGCACTGATTGCTCATCTCTAAGGGCAAGATTAGCTATTCATACCCCAAACTGGCTCTACTCAGCACAAGAACAGGAAAACTGGGGTTTGGTACGGTTTTATTTGGCATAATAAAGTGTTTTGGTCTGAATTTAAATGACTATTCCACTGCTTCCCTTCAACTCTAATCTGAAACCACTGAGAATTTACCATCCAAGAAAGTTAGTGATGTGTTGAATAAACTTCTTTCTTTCACCCCATTACTCATACTCAGTAATTTTACATCTCCTCTCTCAATGTCTCCTCTTCCTCCTTTGCACTTTTCACCCTCTAAATCTCTGTGATTCCAGAGGGCTGTTCCCACCTCAATCCCCTCTGTCTCAACCCCCCTAGGCCACTTGGAGAGTGGCCAGTCCTTCCTTGAACCATGGCCACAGAATCACCCATCACCTTCATCCCCATCATTCTGTTGTCCCTCCTGGAGCCTCCCTTATCTCCTCTGCGGTACCAGTGAGATTTTGGGGCATACACTACACAATGGTATGACCAAAATAAAATCATCCCCAGGGGCAGAGAGGGGTCAGATCCAACAGCAGTGGCAGCAGCATCTCCAGCCTGCACAGGAGTGCCCAAGGCTCACCAGTGAGTCACCCAGGGGTTTGGAGCTGCTCCCAGGGCCAGGAGGAGAATCCCTGTGAAGGGTCACGTTGCCCTCAGTGATGTCTTGGCAGCACAAGGACCCCAAACCCTACGTGACGCCTGGCGAGCTGCGGTTTGTGGCACGGGCGGGTTATTTTCCTATTGGAGAGCTGACAAAATCTGGTTGAAATTAGTATACCAAAGGAAGAAAATGAGAAGCATACAGGCTCCTCTTCAGCTGACTCTGAGCAAGCCAGAGCTGTGCCAGAATGAGCATGCCAAGCCCTTGTCCTTCCTGCTCCTCTGTGCCAGCATGGACAGGACAGGAGGTGCTGGCCAAAGCCCACCAGGCAGGACCCAGCGCAGCAGGAGCTGGGGAGAGGGATTTGGAGCACTGGGGAGGGAAACTTCCCTTCCAGGGAAACTGGAGTTCATGTCCTCATCTGCAAGGACAGGAGAAACAGCCAATGCTCTTGTCAGCCTCTTCCTTGAACAGAAACCATCCATCAGAGCTCCGACATCAGCTACGTGGACCACCATGGGGAATGCTGCAATCCAGCACAGGAAGATGAACACTAAACCAAAAACCAGAGGATGGAGCAAGGAGGTGGCTGTGGCTCCCTGGCCATGCACAGGTCCCTCCAGAAGGAACACTGATTTATCTCTAACAAGAGCTCAATGTCAGGAGAAAGAAAGTGGCAGCAGCAGCTCTGCAGATTATTAACCATTCGGCACAGAGACAGTTTATCTCCTCGCAGGGCTGAGGAGGTGATGGATCACAGCTGGAAGCTCAGGCAGGAGATACACTGTGGAGTTCACTCTGCCTGGCCAAGCAGCAGTGCCAGGCTGTAATCCCTGCAGCAATTAGCCTGGATTACAGAGCAGGGCTGCAGGGAAGAGGTTAATTAAAATCCATCGAGATGAGCATGTGTGGGATTTAGTGACGTTATCTTTCCGGTACTAGTTTGTTGAAGCTAATTCAGCAATTTTAAGAAGCAAAGAGACTGGAGGGAGAGACTGGGCAGGGGAGCATGGCACCACTGCTGCCATCCTGTGCCACAGACATGGATTGGGAACTCAGGGCATCAGAAAGGAAAACCCCTCTGCATCATTTTATCACAGCCCTGACCATGAACAGGCTGGAGAATTCAGCCCTGGTATTCCACATTCCCTGTGTGCAGACAGGACTGGGCCAAGGCAAGGTCCAACCATGCAGTGAGGCCATGGGAGAGGATGATGCCTCATCCCCCTCTGCTGCCCTGGAAGCCTTTCCCTCATCCAGGCTAAGGAAAAACTGTACCTGCCTCAGGCTGGTCTTGGCTGGGAATGTGAGTGACTCACTGGAGAGAAGGAGAAAGGCCATTTGGGGTGGTCAGAACACCTCCACACCCTCAGCTTTCACAGTGCAGTAAACTAGGAATCTGGAACAGCCTGAAGGCTCGTAAAGAGCTCCATGGAATTTCTGGAGCTGGTGTTCCTCCCACTGCAGCCTCTCCTGGACAGGCTTTCCCATGCTACCTGTGCCATCCTCACAGCAGATTCCAAAGGCACTTCAGGAACGGAAGCACGAGCTTTACAACAATCTGACTAAGTGAAAAAGCACCAGGGAGCTGCTTGCCTCAGTCCCCCTCTTTATCCTCAGCTCACCTTTTCCCACCTGTGAGCACAGCAGCTGGGAGAGTCTCCTGCTCCCACTTGTGCTCCTGTCACTGTAATTTGGCATTTCTCAGCACGGGGCAGAGGTGCACGTAGCAAGGAGCAGACAACCTGCTCCGGCCTCACTGCCTCCCTCACCCACCCCAATCTCCTTCCCAGCTGTTTTACCCCACTCCCCGTTCAGGCTGTCCCCTGGGTAGAAGATGCCCCTGTGCAGACACACAGGGCTTGGTCCCTGTGCCACACTGAGGACATCGACGGCACAGAGGTGACCACTGACATGGACCCAGGAATGGATGGATGGGAACACAGGTCACTAGGGAAGGAGTTAATGGAAACCACACGGTCAAACAGCAGCGACCAGCTCTGCTGATTTCTGACCGTCTAGAGGTTCATACAGAGAACATCAAGGCACCAGCTCTACAGCACTGTGGTGCCTGACTGCAAACCCAGCAGAGCACAATGCTCCTCCTGTACGGGCAGCTGTGCAAGGACACAACCCCCAGCACTGCCACCAGCCATTGCACCAACACCAGGACCCAACAGAGCCCTGTTTGTACACACAGGGCACATTAAGGCACTCAAGACCTCAATGAAACCCACACCACTATTACACAAACCACCTCTTGACTCTCCTGCCACGCGCCGAAGCCGCCGATGATGTGCAACACAGCAGAGCCTTGTGCTGTGGCAGCTGCCTGGAGAGGGGACACGGCTGCAGGGACACGTGGGCTGTCTGGGTGGGCAGATGGGGATGTACTGCAAGGAAACCAGCACATGGACCCGAAAAACCACACCAGGAGAACACCTGGGACCCGAAAATCACACCAAGAGAATGTCTGCTCCTACCTGTCAAAGAGAAGCTCAAGCAGCAAAGGAAAAAATCAACCAAACCCACAGTGGTACCAGTTTAGGATGAGCCACGAGGTGGATGGACACGAGAAAACCCTTAGCTGTGCAGCTCCAGAGGTGCCTCACACCAAGGCAGGACAAAGCCACGAGCATGGACAGAGCTACCTGTGCATGGAGCCGAGAGAAGAGGAATCAGGATCCAGTGAATTCTGCGTGAGGGAAGGGAAGGCTGGAGGTTTATATTCCAGGCACAAAGCCGGATCTCGGGAGCTTGTCTTGGAGAATTACTGAGCAAGCACAGTTGGATGGAGACAGCAAATGCGATCGGAGTTCGAGACAAACATCTGATCTATAAATAACAAGGCAGTGACTCGCCTTGTTTCTGCAGGTCTGGCACATCATACAACTGCTCTGATATCACTTCAGAACCGACTGCTTGGGGCATTTATTTATTAGCATTATCTCATGGTGAGATAATGCATTCCTTGATGTCTACATTACTCCCAAGCTTCCCGAGTCTTTAGTGACCTTCACATATTCCCCATTATTTCCTAAATTTCACAAACTTTTCCTGCCAAAGGCAGCTGAGAGCACCCGGGGGAGGAAACAGGGGGTGTGCACTGGCAGAACTCACACCTCATTCCATGTCCTCATCTACCATCTCCCCTAAGTGCTGCACTCACACATGCCACAGGATTACCAGGGACTCCATCCCCTCTACCTGCTCAATGGGAAGCTCCAGCTGGCCAAGGGCTTCCCACGCAGCAGGAGGCTGAGAAGTGGCTTACAACAGACACTGCTGAGTCTGAACGTTTCAGTGCAGAGAAGTAATCCCCAAGATGTGCCTGCATCCCCCAGCCATGCCCACACACTGCCCAGCTCCAGCCACTGCTGCTGGAGGATTCTCCCAATGCCAAGCAGCACTAAGTCTGTCCCACGTGAGACACTTCCCCAGCCCAGCCAAACTCAGTCAGCCTCACAGAAAGGCAGAACTTTTTCACAATAAAACAGTATCAAATTTCACTTTTCGCCCTGCACCAGGGCAAGATCCTTTGGAACTGAGGAAACAACGAATCCATGCACCCTAACAAAACACATGCATTTGGTTTTTTCAAGGAGTGTGGCACAGGAGCTGTCTTTAACCCAGACACACAGCAACCGATGGGAAGGAACTCCTGTTTCTTTCCCCTTCTGTCAGAGGTGACTTTTCAGAGTAACAAACCCACTGAATGATAACACATATATTATAATAAATAAAATAATGCAAAGCACAGACAGAGGCAGAGCCAGGTCACCAGTCTGTCCCCTGGGTGGCTACCAGCCTGGGACCCCCACCTGGCAGAGGGGACTCTGGGGACAAACCCCTCGGGGGAGAGCCCTGTAAGCAGCCCCAGCTGCACAAAATCCGAGCAGAGTTTGGCTCTGAAGGGACCGTTGCACGTACCTGGCCGCAGGTCAGGGTACCCTGCCCGCCCCAGGTAACAGGGGTAGCAGCTCCTCCACAGGTAGCTCCGGTAGTTGTCGCCGGCAGAGCCAGGGATGCCGCTCAGGCAGCCGAGACACCACAGCAGCGTCCAGGGA